TCAGTCACCCCAAAATACCCTGTGAAGTTTGATTACAGAGGTCCTGTGTCCCCACATCTGGCCCGTAAATGGTGGGTAACTCAATGTCGGTTGAACTGAATTGGGCCCCTCTGTTGGCCAACAGCTGTCTGTTATCTACCAGAGAAAACGTTCTGAGAATTCCAGGCCCCTTATCACCGCCACTGGCTGGCAGGTGTGTAGGGCATGGCACGTATTCAGGTTGTGTCTTTAAAGGAAAGTGTTGTCATTTGTGGGTTTTTTGTTCCTGTTTACAAATACGGGGGAGAGTTCAAAGTGGGCATATCAGACGTTTCCTCTGCTGGGCTGGCTTCTTTCCTGGGACCTGCCTCATGGCTGTCTTTGCTCTTTTTTCATGCAGTGTTATCTCCTACCCCAGGACATCCCATCCAGACCTCACTGGAAGGGGCTTGTGGTCTATGTATTTGCTGTCACAGTGATGGGGAGGCCTGTTTGAAATCTACCTTGGGAGCTGGGTGTAACTTTTACCCACCCTCCACCCCCGAAGCAGGGCTTAGCTGTGTAACATGGTAAACTGAGTCTGGGCTCTGGTTTTAGAGAGCTGGACAGGAAAAAGGGAGGTCATTCTAAATCTTCCTAAAGTGTAGCTTGTCATTTTGAAGAACCGTCAGAACCACAGGTGAGGAGCTGCTATCCAGACCACTTCCCTTGGCTCCAACCCCGAGCAAACAAGTCCATTTAGGAATCTGAAGGACCAAATATAATCTAAAAATTGGGTGCAAGGTAGGAAGGATGGCGACCTCCAGCTGCCTTTCTGTCATCGTAGAGGAAGAAGAGCAGGCCCTTTTTGACACTGTGACACACGGAAGAGTCATCTTCGCCGGCCTCAGCTCTCAGGGCACCAGCCACCAGGCTCCATCTAGCTGGCCCGGGGGCTGTGGGGCCAACACATCTGCCTGCCTCTAACCAGGGAACTGGCTGGGAAGCTCAGGAGTAGCGCATTTCTATTTCCTTAAGGCACTGGTCCTTAGCTGGGGGTGATGTTGCCCCCAGGGGATATTTGGTAGTATCTGGAAGCACTATTGGATGTCATAGTGGGGGGCGGACAGTATGTGTGATTGGCACCTAATTGGATGCTGCTAATCAATGTACAATGCACAGGACAGCTTCCCCACCCCCACCCCCTACCCCCAAATGTCCTTAGTGTGGCTATTGAGAACCCTGTCCCAACCAAAGGAGAAACTCAGTCTGAAAAAAGGGCCAAGGCAAGAAAGGGCGCGTCTCTATATTAGTCTAAGTCCAGCTTTAAAAACATCTCTGCAAAAAGTGAGCAGAGCTCATCTGTCCTTCCCTTTCTCCCCTCACTACCCTGTTCTCCCTCAAATGTGTAGCTCATTTTGCCTACTTCAATAATTTATTATTTTTCTTTTTGTGGACACTTCTTATTAGTCATTGGTAACTAAGAAGCTCAAAGACGGGGGCACTGCATCCTACAGCGAGGTCCCCAAGGATGGGGCTAACTTCAGGGGTCACAGGGGGTGCCTGATGCTGCTGTGGAGAAGAGGGCAGCGAGTCTCTGGTTAACAGCCCCTTATTAAACCCATTTGATGCTGAGTAAACAAGCGTGAAAAGAAAGGGGATCTGGGCCAGGAGAGCTGTCAGCAGTCATCGCCGCCCGCTGATCCCAGCCCGTTTTCAATCAGCGTCTCCCCGGTACTCTGGGGCCTTTATTCTACTAAACATTTAAGCCGGTTTGTTATTAAGAAGAAACATCTTAATCCCCGCTATTGAACTTCATAGCTTAATCTTGGTTACCAGGCGACTCAGGAAGCTGTGTGGAGAGTACGCTTCCCTCCCACAAACACGGTTAACCTCTCTCAGCCTGTTTTCCCTAAAGTCTCAGGGGTATTGGTATATGGTGTGTGTGTGTGTGTGTGTGTGTGTATGGGGGGGGCACTGAGGGGAGAGGGAGGAAGAGGAAGAGGGAGAGGAGGGGCAGGAGGAGAGGGCAAGGAAGGGAAGGGAGTCAAGCGATGGTCTGAGAAGCAAGACAAGTGCAGAGCCAAAAAGCTGTGGCTCCTCCGCTCCCACAAACGGTCCAACACTAGGTCATGGTCTAGAGTTGGGGCCCTTGTGTTTTTTATTTTTATTTATTTATTTATTTTTTTATCATGCCATTTGATATTTCTCCTTCAAGAACACAGAGAAGACCACACAGAGGTTGCAAACCATGAAAAGGGGGTGGCCGGGGACCAGGGCAAGATGCTGAGCTCTGCTTTCAATTCAAAGTTCAAAGGGAACTTTGGAGATGAAATGGACAATCCTGGTTATCAGAGCTGGAGACCCGCCACCAAAAGCCTGCCCCCCCCCCTCTCAGTGTCCCCCAGGGAAGGCCGTCCAGCATCCCAGCTGCTCTCCCCTACGGATGGGCACATGCGAGTCCTGACAGCCACCGGGCGAGGTGTCCTTATCAGCACACGGGCCGCCCCGGGTCAGGAAGGCCACTGATGTGTGGCACATCAGCCCGCTCAGCTGCCCCTCCTCTGGGGCGCGGGGAAGGGGGACTGGGAATGAGATAGGGGGCCCGGCATGGCAGTTTTTAGGAAGAAAGTAGTCTAGCCTCCTCCAGGAAAACACTTCCATTTCTTCAAACCAACAACAAAACAAGGAGAAGATACCTAGGCGCCCCCTCCCCTCCACCGCCTCCCCTGCCTGACCCCCGCCTGGCCCCGTGGACCGGGTACTCACGCTGCTGGGGTGGAGCATGGGCAGCGGCAGCAGCAGCAGCGGCACCAGGATGGACAGCAGCAGCTTCCTCGCTCCGAGAAGGCCCTTCAGCAGCCCCATCCCGGACCTGAGTGGAGCCCGCTGGGCGGCCAGATAGATGCCTTCGCGTGTCCAGAAGACTCCGCACGCCTCTCTCGGCCTCCCGGAGCCCTGCGGCGGCGTGGGGCAGAACGGGAGGGCAGTTACAGCCCCGGCTGGCACAGAAGGCTGGGCGCCTCGCTCCTGTTTTAGGTGGGGTTGGTGAGCATGGTTTCACCAGCCAAAAGGAACCGGGAAGGGATGCTACCCCGAGGCATAGTGGGTCCCCTCTCTGCTGGGTCAGTAATAGAGTAACTTCATGCCAGGGCCAGCAAAGGACCCCTTAATCAATCAGAATCCCACCTCTTCGGTAGCCTGTTGGCCTTGAAGAAGTCATTGAAAGGCTTTAAAAATTTGAAGATACCAAGAGTACATCATGCCCTTCATCATTGTCTTCCTCTGTGGCCTCTTTCGGGCAGTGCCAGCTTCACTTCCTACCTGTGCTCCTTCACTGGACCTCTTCTTCCCTCAAAAAACAAGCCAACCCTAGTACCCCCCCCCCTTTCCTTAAACCAAGGCCCCCCAAGTTCGTCAGCAGAGGATGCAGACTTCAGATAGGGCTAGCTTCTTTCCTGGCACCTGGCACCTTCACTGGGTTCAACTTTCTTTCCTTCAAATTGACTTTCCACTTATGATTTGCCTGGAGCCAGGGGCCTCTGGAGCAGGGGGAAAAAAAAAAAGAAAAAAAAAAAAAAAAAAAAAAAAAAAGAAGTCCCAGACATTCCTAGTTGTCACGGGACAAAATCTTGCTGGAGGCCCACCTTAACTTCCACTCACCTATAGGAAGCGGACAGAGGCAGTAGCCCCGCCCATTCCCACAGCCAATCAGCGCAGCTTGATTGGACCCAGCAGGGGCCTGCTGATTCTGCAGAACTTAGGCAACTTGCAAAGCTTATTTTTGTTTCTCAGACATCCTAGGGGCTGGAGTGATGACCATCATTGGAAACCTAACCCCGCTTCCCCAAGCTCTGCTTTGCCGTAGGCAGGGGACTCTAGGACACAGACTTTGCCCTGGCAGGGCCACTGCTGCCTAGTCCTTCCGAGGAGGATGTGTCTGGTGGCAGGGAGAAAAAAGTTATTAGCCGAAACCGGTTTGGCTCAGTGGATAGAGCGTTGGCCTGTGGACTGAAAGGTCCCGGGTTCGATTCCGGTCAAGGGCATGTACCTTGGTTGTGGGCGCATCCCCAGTGGAGGATGTGCGGGAAGCAGCTAATTGATGATTCTCATAGATGTTTCTAACTCTCTATCTCTCTCCCTTCCTCTCTGTACAAAATCAATTTATATATATATATATATATATATATATATATATATATATATATATATATATATATGATTAATTCTGGAGATGTTTGCCCCAGAGTGCACAGGACGAACCCTTCCAGACTTCCCAGGTGGCACAGAGCGTTTGATAAAGTGCCCAGGTCAGCAGAGGGTGTCACTGTAAGAAAGCCCAGACCTTTCTAGAGAGAATAGGAAGGATAGCTGCCTATCTGGAAAAGTCTAGATGCCCGTCTCACCTCAGAGGCCTTCGGTGCCCAGATGTCAGTGGTCTTGCTGGCCTGAGTAGGTGCTCAAATGCCCTTCTCGGATGCTTTTTACCAGAGAAGACGCGGAGCAGAGTCCAGGGTTGTGCAACCCACCTTCTCGTGAAATCATGGAATGTAAGGAATGGCGTCCCAAGATCAATAGCTGGACCAGTTGGAAATGGTCCCCAGGCTAAAGTTAAAGGGACTGGAAAACTGACTCCAGAAAACCAGTTCTTCTTGACTTCTAAGGCAGGTGCGACTGCGGATGGTCTAGGTCCCCTGAGAGATTATCTTTCTGTTACAGGATGGGCTGTGATGGCTTATCTCTTTAAATGCCCATTAAAGACTACGGTATTTACCACTTTTGTGAACTTTCCTTTTTTGTGATGATTTTGAAACTCAGAATGGACAGTGCCACACATGTGATGTTTGGTGGCAAATATTAAAGAGACTGGATAATAATAAGTTGCTGTGGAAATAAACGTTGCTGTTAACCCCATGAACCAGTTCAAATTTCATATGCAAAGAAGTCATGGTTATAAAATTTTCTGTGGGGGAAACAATTAATTTGTATTTGGACTAAAAGAGATAATCCGAGATAACAAAGATTCCATTGAGCCTAATAACTCCATCATGACTTATTTATTACACCGTTAGCGAATATTTGTTAAATAAAATAAGGTGAGTGACACAGTAAGACCAGTAGTTCTTCAGAAGTCTAGCCACTTTTCAGTTGCAGAAAGCATTTTCCAGAATACAGCATTTAAGAAATGTAAGACAAATACCACTTATATGAGGTATTGAAAGTAGTCAAACTCTTAGAAACGGAACATGGGATGGTTGTGGCCAGGGGCTGGGGGACAGGAAAGGGAGTGTTATTGTTCCACAGATACCGTTTTTTTTTTTTTTTTTCAGGATGAAAAAATTCAAGAGATCTTTCACAGAACAATGTGCATATAGTTAACTTTTAACATCTCCGTACAGTTAAAAATGGTTGGGATGGTAAATTTGTATTGTTGTTTTTTACTATAATAAAGAAAAATAAGACATCAAAATGGGTTAGGAAAGTAAGGGGTGCCATGTAAAGTCATTTAACAAGCATGTGATCTTAGACCATTTCACCTGTGGCAATACCTTCTGACTGATCGCTTACGTGATTTTCTCTCAGCTGGAGTCCAGGGGAGGGGAGAGAGCAATGACAGCCCATAGACATTTTCCAAAGTCTCTTGAGTGACACCAGAGGTAGCCATGAGGATGCCAACCACGGAGGAAACTTCCAGAATTTCTAGACCCTCAAATTTCCACTATCCCAAACTGTCCGGTTGATGAGTAAATGGGACACATGGTGACTCGGTTGTGTCTGTGGTGTGTACAGTGTGGCATGAACAAGGCAGAATGGAAGGCTGTTTCTGTCCAGTCTTCTGCTTTCTTGTGCATGGGGCAGAGAGGTGGGGTTTGGGGTGGCGGTCATGAGCATTACATTTGATTTTGTATGTAAATGAAGTCATGGTTCTGTGGGTAAACAATTTGTATTCAGACTAAAATAGTGTTGAAGTATCTGGTTACTGAAAATGAAATGTTCACTTGTCTTTAAGGCTTTCCTTGTTTCTATTTTTTTTTTTTTTCAGTCATGTATTGCCACACAAATATGGACCCGGATTAACGAGTACAGAAGTGCCTTCACTGCTTTGTTCCAGGGTGAATGAACCACCACAGATGGCTCTCCCTGATCTGGGAATCATCCTCCCACTCACGGCCCCTGACTGGGAGCAGCCATGCATAGCATGACAGGGTAACCAGGGGATCACTGGCGGGTCTGTCCAGCTGGTGACTGAAAGCTCTCAGACCCCCTTCTGATGGCATGGCGTCCCAGCATGGGATGCAAGACTGCTGTAAGGGTAGTAATTGCACAGTGCCTGGGGCCGAGGCCTCTGCTAGCTGCTTTCGAATCTCACTCACATCAAGAAGTACAGTGAAAGTAGATTGTGAGGTTGATCTGCCCTGTGGGCAGTCCCACACTGTCTCTACTTTGATCTTTGTTTTCATCAGGCAGTGATACCCACAGGAGGCCAAAAGCCAGAGCGCTCAGGGTAGATGCGGGCGGCAGAGATAGCGTGCAAATGTTAACCCCGGGGCGCCTGGAGCGGCTTCAAGAAATGGGGGCAAAGAGAATCAGAATCAAGCCCAATGAGAGAGCTGCAGAGACACAAACTAAAATTAAAAAGAGTCCAGCAGAGCGACCATGTCAAAGAGAACCGGTAATATGAGGAAGAAGAAAAATGAGCAAAAAAGCATTTCTCATCAGTGTGCATTTGAGGGAGGTAAATGAGCAGAGCCATCAGAGGATAGAAGGAAGGGGCATGAGTTATTGTCTTCTGCATCTGAGAGCATCAGGATGCAAAGCTGCGTTTTTCTCTGGCCCCTTCTTCCTGCATTCTAGTTTTTCTCCAAAAAGATCACGCAGCTCAGGCTGCTAGCAAAGCGCATGTGTTCAAAGCTTTTAAAGAAGTCCAGACCAGCTGTTGTGATTATCAGATGACAATTGTTAAATTTCAATTTCGAAATCAAATTTAGCCCAAAGAGTCCTCCCTCATTCAAGGATCACACTACGTGGACTTCAGCCTCCAGGGCCAGGCTGCAAAGTTAGGGGAGGCCAGAGCGGTCTCTGAGCGAGTGGGGACTTTTTACTGGAACCCAGATGCCTCGCTCAGCAGAGCCTTCATCTGGGAACTCTCAGTTAACGCAGAGCTATAACAAGCCCAGCTCTCCCGATTTTCAGGTGACGGAAGCTAAGAAAGAACAAAATGCAAGAAGCAAGTGATGTTGGTCACAGAGAAAAGCGCACTCTTCTCGCCAGTCAGCGAGGAAGGCAGCAGAACTCACCCCGAGACCGAACGAGCCACGCCTGGGACCTGCTGGGCTGGCACAGTAGTCCAGCAGACCTCACAGTTAGATAAACAACTGTGGAAATGTCAGGAGTTGGAGAACCTTGGAGATTATGCTATCCAACTCCTTCCTTTGGATGGTTCAGAGCGACTAAATAAAAGCTTAAGGCAGTGGTCTGCAAACTGTGGCTCGAGAGCCACATGCAGCTCTTTGGCCCCTTGACTTAGTGTGGCTCTTCCACAAAATACCACGGCTTGAGTGAGTCTATTTTGAAGAAGTGGTGTCAGAAGAAGTTTAAGTCTAAAAAATTTGGCTTTCAAAAGAAATTTCAATCATTGTACTGTTGATATTTGGCTCTATTGATGAATGAGTTTGCTTAAGGCATTCCAGCTGCGTAGTTTCAAAAGCTATCAGGTCAATATCGCTAACATGAAAAACTGTCCTTGAAAGGGTAAAATTCTGCCATCTGACAACCAGTTGTATTTGAAGCAGCGAGTCTCTTATGATGCTAAGTAGTCTGATACTTAAGGAGTATCTGGGGCCCCCTCTTTGCTAGCATGACTCTCTGCATTAGCTTGGCTTCTCTGTTCAGAAGACAAGGCATGCCTGTTGGTGGTAGACCAGCCCTCAGATAAGAAGAGTCAAGACATACAGGTCAGACAGTTACCCATTTTCTAACTCACTCTTCTCGGTGACTCTTAGAAAAAGTGAGGAGTCTATCCTTGGCTAACAAAGTTCTTATTTGCCTGTCGCTCTAGCTCTGTTCTTTCTTACTACAGAACCTTCAGAAAAATGTGCATTTAACTCAGCACCCCGATCTCTTAGGACCAAAGAACTCTGTCCCCCATCTCCCCGCCATGCTCAAACCTCTATGATGTCTCCTCCAGCTCTGTCCTCCCTTGTGGGGCTCTGTGGCAGTCACGCAGTGTGGAAGCGATCTTAGACTCTACATGTCACCAGGCACACCATTCGGCCTCAGCAGGCATCTTGAATGACCACTCCATCCCTTGCTTCCGGCCCAGGTCACCTTATGACATGAATCAGGTGCGCCTGTCAGGAAGCTACCACGGGTCAAGAGAGTGGGGCCGAATAATTACTTTATCTCTGCTACTCTGAGCTGGCGGCATGTGTTTTGTTGCTGGTCCCTATAAACGGAGCGGAGAATGAAGAATTTCTGGATTACTGTGTGTGCTGGGGTGGGCCAGCCTCTCAGGCAGACACTCTGGAGCCTGAGGACCGCAGCAGGTCCTGCCTCAGGGCCTGGAAAAGGCTGAGGAGGGACTGGGCCCAGATGTCCTTCTGATGCCCTCGGGACAGGGCCGTGCGGTAGGCCGTGTAGGCCAGGGTCAGCGCTGTCCTTTCAAAGTCCTCTTTCTTAAGGAGGCCGGGGAGGCTGGCGAGGCTGGCGCTGAGCCGGCGAATGTCCGGGATGCGCTTGGGGATCACGTCGTTGCAGACAGCGCGGAAGGCGGAGGCCTTCCTGAGAGAGGCGAGCTCCTCATCCTTGATGGAGATCTGCAGGTCAGGGCTGATCTCCAGCTCGGCCAGCAGGAACTGGGGAGAGATGTGAGGGACGGAAACACATGAAGCATCTGGGCATTGCTGAGGACACCATTGTTTCCATCCTCACACAGCCTTCATGTGGGGAGGCCGCTGTGGAAAGCGCTTTGGAATCCAAGAGACCTGGGTTCCAGTTCTGACATTTCCCACCCACTTGGGTGACTTACTGAACTTCTCTGAGCCTCATTTTCCTCCTCTGTGAAACGGTTAGTAGCAACAATACTTTACAGAGCCGAAACCGGTTTGGTTCAGTGGGTAGAGCGTCAGCCTGAGGACTGAAAGGTCCCAGGTTCGATTCCTGTCAAGGGCATGTACCTTGGTTACGGGCACATCCCCAGTGGGGGCTGTGCAAGAGACAACTGGTCAATGTTTCTCTGTCATCGATGTTTCTAACTCTCTATCCCTCTCTCTTCTTCTCTGTGAAAAATCAATAAAATATATTAAAAAAAAAAACTTTATAGGGCTATTGTGGGAAGTAAATAAGAGAAATATGAACAGCCTGGTACAAACACTGTCCCTGGCACAAATGACTATTTATTATTTCCGGTGTCCCAGATGGATCTGTTCTTTCCTCTCTCCCTCCCACCCACCAAAGGTCTTCTAAATCATGAACTACTTCAGGTAACTTTAAATCAGAAGCGAGGGATTGAAGGATGCAGAGAACAGTGCTAGGAATTAAGTGGGATACAGAGATTTGTCCTCACTTCTCACCTATTCCTTACGCGGGGGGCGGGGCCTGCCACAGGCATCCCTCGCTCGCGGCTGGGCTCGCCTCGGGACCTGGTAAACATCTCTTGGACTCGGGGTTCTAACTTGTGTCTGCTTCCAGCTTCCCCCGCCCCGTCCCTCTCCATGCTACTGTCTTCTCAAAGGGCCCTGTGCTGTGCCTCCCATGTCCAAGACTCAGTGGAGCTATGCATTCTCAGTGAGTTCCGGGGTAGGACCTGGCTGCAGCAGCTCTTTCTTAGCCGGAGAGTTCTGGAACATGGAGGATGCCAGAGCATGCCAAGGCAAGGGGCGTGGGTTTGGAGATCACTGTATCCCTCATTTAACATTTGAGGAGATCAAGGTCACATGGCTGATGAGTGGCAGGACCAGAACTAACGCTCAGACCTTGAGCCTGGAATTTTACTGCTGAATCGGATCAAGAGGCCTTGGGAAAGTGACCCATGGTTTGGAGAAGCGGGTCTGAGTGGTGAAGATGAGGGGCAGAGGAAGAGAGCCTTTGGGGTGCCCAGGTGGTCAGAAACGGGGCTGTCACGGTGGGCAGTTACCTGGGACAGGGTTCTGCCAGACAAGCAGCTTGGCATTGCCTAAACCCCGTGATGAGTCCTGCCTCCTGGCATTTGCTCGAGACTATTGACTCTGCTGCTAGGGTGCTGGGAGTGGCACCCTGCGGCCCAACTTAAACCTCTAATTTCGTCTCCAGTGAGCTCCTGATGCCATCACTCCCTGTTTGGCACGTGGGAATGGAGGGGAGATACGAGGAATACCTTACTCTGGATGGCCACGATTTGATGGCCTCAAAAGGGAGTCTAGGCCAGTCCCCAAGGTGGGTGGGAGGGGCACTCATTTTCAGGGGCTCCGGTCATTCCTCCAACAAACAGAAAAGTTGCAATGCCTTTGGGGTGATATGGCCACTTGCGCCGCTGCCTACCTCGTAGAGCAGTTCTACTTCCTCCAGGGAGCTCTGCAGGACAGGGTTCAAAGGCACTGAGGACGATCTCTTGGGCCGATGGGCGGCAGGGAACAGCACGGCTGCAAGAAACAAAGGAAGAGGCTCCAGCAGCTGTGCATGTGGCCTTCCCCGCCGTAACCTAGGGGTCAGCCAGCCGATCTCGCACGTGACGGACTGGGAGCTGTGGCGTCAGTGAGCGGGAGAGGTGGCAGGCAGCTCTGATGTGTCCCGGAAGCCCCCAGGTGTGTCAGACGTTCCTGTGTCAGACCAGTGATTTCCAACATGGCTGCTCACCAGAACCAGCCCAGAAAGCTTGGAAAACTGAAACTGGTTTGGCTCAGTGGATACAGCGTTGGCCTGCGGTCTGAAAGGTCCCAGGTTCGATTCCGGTTAAGGGCATGTACCTTGGTTGCAGTCACATCCCCAGTGGGGGGTGTGCAAGAGGCAGCTGATCGATGATTCTCATCGATGTTTCTAACTCTCTATCCCTCTCTCTTCCTCTCTGAAAAAATAAATAAAAACATATTAAAAAAGAAAAGAAAGAAAGCTTGGGAAAATATAGGCTGTCCCCCAAAATGTATACACACACTCTGAATAATTACAAATGCAGTGTTTATTAAAATACATTTCATCTTCAAAGTGGAGCCATCCGCAGTTAAAGTATGCATACATTTTTTGGACACCCTATATGTAGTGTACAGGTGTCAGCAAAAGTAAGTTTATGGTTGTTTGTGTGGAGAAAGACATGCAGGCCATGATTATTGCAATAGCTTTTTTGAAACTGTGTTTCAAGTACTCACAACAGTAAACCTACTTTTGCCCACCCCATATGTTGAGGGAACTTCTATTAAAATCAAACAGAAATGAGCAAACAACAAACCCCTTCACACTGAACAATTGAGCCCCCTAATGATACCGTTCTCTGAGAGTGATGCCCATGTTAGCGCCTGGTCAGTATGAGGGGCTGGTTTAATTTATTGTAAACCCTTCTCGTCAGAGGATCAGGCTGCTGGCTGTTCCCCAGCCGTCTGAAACACAGCTGCCGAGAATCTGCACACAGGTGACAGAGGAAGGGGAGAGAGCTGCCCAAGATCCTGACTCTATGTGGCTCTAGGGGAGTGAGGGGCCAGGCTCAGGGTTCCCCCCAAGAACCAGCTGACTTAGAAATGCATTTGGGACAAAGTCAATCGCTAATGCTGTTTCTTGGTGATTGCATTTAGAAACAGCAGCTGGAGGAGGATGGACGGGCTGCTACGGGTAGAGAGAGTAGGGAGAACCTTATGAGGCCACGTGAAGGAGGAGACAGAATGTTACGGAGTGCAGGAGTAATCATTGTACACTGCAGTTCTCTGGGTCGTATCAGGCCGGGAGCAGACAGCCGTGCCTACCCCTGCAGTCCCATGATTGCTATGCCTGCTGCCAGCTGATAGGAAAAAGCACGGCTTCTTGCACCTAAGGTAACTGGGACCAGGGCGATACGTCAAATATTAAATCATTGGTCAGATCCCCCTTGATCTTAGATGCTGACTCTTCTTTATGCTGCTGTGTGCTGCCTCCCAAAATAACTATTCAAGCCCCGACAGGGCTCGAACCACCAGAACAGCAATGAAAAACAAAACATAAGTAATTGCAGCGAAAGATTTCCCAAATGCATAAATGAGGAAGTAGGATTCTCTATATGGCTTGGTACCTTGAGTCCAAGAGCAGTGAATGGACACATTGTACCACGTGAGGAGTTTATATCTAGGAAGCACTTAAATTATGTCATTTAAAAAAAAAAAAAAATAAAAAAGGAAGCAAAAGGTACAGCTTCTCCAAGACTCTGGATTGGGACCTCCCAGAAACCTGAGGCTCTGAGGTCAGTAGCGCCCCCTGAAGTTGGGCAAAGCACAGTTTGCATCACCATGCATGCCAGCTGTGCTTTATTTATTTATTTTTTTAAATATACTTTATTCATTTTTAACAGAGAGGAAGGGAGAGGACTAGAAAGCTAGAAATATCGATGAGAGAGAAACATTGATCAGTTGCCTCCTGCACATCCCCCACTGGGGATGTGCCCACAACCAATGTACATGCCCTTGACCGGAATCGAACCCGGGACCTTTCAGTCCGCAGACCGACGCTCTATCCACTTAGCCAAACCGGTTTCGGCAGCTGTGCTTCTTGATACAGGTGTCCCGGGGCCATCAAGAACGGGTCCACTGACGCCCAGGATACTGTGTTCGAGAAGGCAGGGGGCTACAGAAGCATCTTAGGAAAAAAAAAAAATTAATGCGAAATAATAAAAATGAAACATCTTTGATATAAAGACACTTCCTGAAAAGCTCCCTGGTAGGAATCTCCACTCCTTGGGAAGAGCTGGTTGGTGGAGTCTTGCTGTAACATTGCTTTCTCTGCATCCATTTATTATCTATACCACAAGCTCCTCTTGGGGTAGGATAAAGGTGGTTGTAGGGCTCTGCCCCCCACAGATTCTGGCAGGCTTCCAGGCCGAGCGCTGGGCCCCGCTGTTGGCTGAGGAAACCCATGCACTGGGGGAGCCAGTGACCTCCGGCAGTGACCTCTGCTCCCTCAGACCATGTGGGAAGGAGCCCGTGACCAGAGCAGTATTTCCGAGCCTCGTATTTTAGCAGAACTTGTTCTCATTGCCAGAAAACTGGCCATTTCCTCATGGAATCAGAGATGTAGGGCCTTGCCTCTGTTCCCTCGCGGCCTCTGCCTGCAGTTTTAGGTGGAGCTCAGGAGTCTGAGGCGGCTCCTAGGCATTGGCTCCCAAACCTGGACCGCATTAGCATCACGCCAGGGCTTTACCATCTACTGGTGCCGGCCCTCGCTGGTTTGGTTCAGGGGACAGAGCATCGGCCGGTGGTCTGAAAGGTTCTGGGTTCGATTCCAATCAAGGTCGTGTACCTCGGTTGCAGGCTCCTTCCCGGCCCAGCCAATGGATGTGTTCCTCCCACATTGCTATTTCTATCTTTCCCTCTCTCTTCCTTTCTCTCTCAAAATCAATGGGGCAATATCCTGGGGTGAGGATTAAGAAGCACAAAATGCTGGTGCTTGTCCCTGCTCCATGGGTCCTGATCTAATCAGTTGAGGGTGCAGCTGGGACGGTGAGATGTTGGGGCGTCTAACCGCAGCCACGGTGAGAACCAGCGGGCGCTTGCCCGAGGCTGCATGGAAGGCGGTGCCACGTTCAGGTGAGGCCAGTGGCTCTCAACCTTGACTGTGCATTAGACTCACCTGGGAGTTTTTAAAAACCCAAATGCCACAGGGCCCCTCTCAGGCCCTGTCACGGGCGTCTCAGGGGTGGATGTAGGCGTCGGGACTTCTTATGGCTCCTAGGTGATTATAACGGGCAGGCAGGGTGGACAACCATTGGGCTATCCGGACCCACAGCCAAGAAACGGCGCCCAAATGCAAAGCTCACTCCCATCGGAGGCCTTGCAGACTCTTCTGAGGAGATCAAGGCAAAGTAAAGACACAGGAGGGTTTGTGCTCTGCCTCTGCTTTCTCGTTGGCGGGAGAGGACACCAGGACCAGAGCTGGGCCAAGACCAAGATGTGACCCGTTTCTGGGTGCTCCTCCCACGAAAAGTGTGATGAACCCTCTTCTCAGGATAGGACCTGAGAGCAAGTTTACTTCTTTAACTCTTCTTCCGGCCTTTCTCTTATTGTGGCACTAGAGGTATCGGTGGCCTTAAAAACATTCCCACCCGGCAGGTGAGGGGGATAGGGGAGACCCGTGTCCCAGCATGGAGCCTTTCTGCTGCCTGTCAGTCAGGCCGGGGCTGCCTCTGGGAAGGTTATCCACCCGCTAGAGCTGCCTTTCTTCACTCAGTCATTTCCCTGGGGACAGGACACTCCAGCATGCTCACCCAAGGGCCCCCTCATCCTCAAAGAGATGGGGAGGAAATACCTCCTGACTCAAAACCAAGGTTCATCATGGAAGTGTTGTTCCCAATAGCCCTTGTTCTCATCGTTTCAAAATAATGACAGAGTTTGGGGAAGATTGCCAGAGATAGTTCCGCCTCTAGACCAGCCAGGGGAGGGACAATTGTTTCAGAAAGTATGTTGGGAGCACAGGAATCTGAAAAGGGGGCCTGGCCCTTTTCCCTCCTTCAGCCAGTGCCCCAGCCTCCTGTAGGCACCCCTGGAATTGCTGCAGCCGCTTTGACTGCCTGTGGCAGGCACAGGTGCAGTGAGCTCTAGGTGGCCATCCCAGCACTGCCCGGGCCTCCCTCCTCAGCAACGGGACAAGGTAACTTCCTCTCCCCTGGGCACGCTGCAGGCTGGCTGCTCCATGTCCAAACATTCAGGCGCAACGCTACCCTACAGTCACTCCAGGTGTTTTTGCCCATCGAGGTGAAGCCTAGACCCTGCCAGAATGTAAGCGGCCAAACAAAGGCTGGCCAGCTGCCAGAGGGGCGCGTAAAAGCTTTAACTACCCTCGCTCCCGCTTGGCGGGAAAAACAGCCCTGTCCCCGGGAAGCCTTCCCGTGAGCCCGCCGCCCACCGCGGTGCCTCCTCTGTCCTGTGGTGTCTGCGTCCGTCCTACACATCCCACACCTGCCCGCAACCGCTGGCCTTGCCCTTGTCCTCGGTGACTGCGTGACTCGGTAGCTGGGCTCTGAGTGCAGGCCCAATCCTGTATTTTGAAATGATTTATAAAAAACCCAGCTATTAAAAAAAAAAAAAAAAAAAAGGCATCAACCAAACACAACATCCCTTCCATGCATGCTTTGCTGGGTTTGCTTCCTTTCCCTGCCGTCTCATCTCCCAAATTTATGGAGGTCACTTTAGGTTCAGCTCCTTCTCACTGTCGGCTTTGGGGCAGTCCAGTCTTCGCAGGGCTGAGAGGAGGAGCCCTGAGCTGCCATCGGCAGAGACTCCTCTGAGGGAGGAGAGAGAGGGGGCAGGCTGGGGTGACCAGGGCCTGGCAGGAGGACCCCGAGCCCATCTATGTACCACCTGAACAGTGATTGAGCTGCTGGTACACCTTTTTGTCAAAATCACTGCCTTTGTGTACTTTTTTGGTGTAAAACTGGGCCAGTTTGTTTCTTTTTTCTCCACTCAGCGCTCCA